CACATATATACAGTTACAAAACTTTGCTTTATCTTCTTAAGCTGTTCTTTGAAATCTTCTGTTCAACTCTTTAACTTCCTGATTTCTTCCTTTTGTTTTGGCTTCTCAACATTCTAGTACAAAATTCAGAGTCTTTTCTGACATTGATCTTGGTCTTTTCTTCCTCCTCTGTCTTTATAATGACCTCCTGCATTCTTCACAAATGGTATTTTTGAGATCATCCCACAGTTCATCTTGTCTTTGTTAATTAGTATTCAAGGCTTCAAGTATTTTTTTAATTAAGCAAAATTTTCATTGAACAAAAATAATAATAAATAAATATTGAACAAAATACATGCCAACTGATATAAGTTCAACACCATGAAGGGAAAAATATGACACCAAAATTCCCTCCTCTATGCTACTAGAATTTAGATTACTCTCCAATCTATAGCTTCATTTTTCTACTTTTATTAATATATACACAAATTTGTATTTTTTTTAACATTAGAATTCTTAAATCTGTCAAATCTGTTCTTGAGATGGTTTTAAATTCAGGTGGGCTATACTTAAGGTCATATTTTGGATCTTGTGAATTTATTTTCCTTTTCTTTAGCTTCCATTTGAACTTACACATGAGTAGCTGATGATCGATTCCACAGTGAGCCTCGGGCCTAGTTTTCTCAGATCTCATTGCTCTTCTCCCAGAATTCTTTCCACAGTTAGAGTCACTCTGATTCCTGTGCAGTCCAACAGGTAAGGTCCATGTGTATAGTCATGTGTTTTTCCTAAAAAGTATTTGCAATGAGTAAATAAATCATTGATTGTAGGAAGCCATCCTGAGTAGATCTTAACTCTGCCACTGATAACACTTTTTGACATGCAGCCGCTACCCCTGTCCATCTCTGGGACTATGCCTACCTCTTAAATCAGCACCTGTAAATCAACACCTTGGGGCATGCCCCTCCTCCTCTTTTGTAAACTGATAACTTAGGGCTGGGTTCCCTGGCAGCCCGGCCTACTCCGCTGCCTATTCATAGCAGAATTCATCGAATAAACTTGGGGCTTGATCAGAGATTTTTTTGTCTTGCCTCCCTCTCTCGTCGCCCTGTTCCTCTTTTAATCCACACAGATTCCACTCTAGAACACGTATGAACCCGCAGGTCGGTTTCAGCTGGCAGCTTCAACTGATTGCACAAAATTCTATCATGTCTCCAGCCTCATTTCTGTTACTAAGTCTATATTTTCTTCCTTGTTCCCAACTTTTGCATTCCAGTCACCAATTATTTTAATGAATCTTGGTTGTAAGTTTGATCCATTTCTGATTGCAAAAGTTGGTAGAAAGCTTCTACTTCCTCCTCTTTGGCTGTAGTTGTTGGTGCGTATATTTGAATGTTAGTGGTTTTAACAGGTCTTCCCTGTAGGTGTTTATACATGTATCCTGTCCCTCCCAAAATTGTATTTCAAGATGGATGTAGAATGGAGTTTTTTTTTACTAGGAATGAGGCCTCATTTTTCCTCTCTGCATAGTTGCTGTATGATTGTACAATTCAAAATGTTCCATGTCAATTTGTCTCAGCTCACCAATGCCTAATATAGCAATATTTATGTGTTCCATTTCTTTGACAATGTCCAGTTTTCCTACATTCATGCTTCTTACATTCCATGTTCTAATTATTAGTAGTTGTTTGCAATTGTTCCTCTTCATTTTGTGTTTCCCAATATTAGGGCTCAGCCTGGAATGTTATATCTAATAATCTAAGTGTGCTGTATTGTTAATAGGATTTCCACAGGCTTGCTATTTCTAAAATGGACAGTCAACCCTTCTTCCTAGTCTGTCTTAACTTAGAAGCTCAGCTCTAGTACAGTATCTGACAGACAAGTATATTACCCAAAAGAGCAGATGATAGACAAACAGCCTTAAACATTTCTAAGAGATTAAGAGAGCATTAGCCTTCAATGCACAAACATACTTCCTCATTGCATAACTAACAGATAAATTGATCCACTCCCCCTTCTGTGTGTATCCCATCCAGTCCCGTCCCCATCCCCTTCCTTGTCCCAACTAGTTATTTTCCCTCCACCCAGTGGCTGCTAAGTGAGGCCTAACCTAACCCTTAATATGATGGGTCAAGCGTCCAGTCACTTCTCTCTGCTCATTATCTCTTTGCTGCCCAGTGATGATGG